GGAAATCCCTCTACAATACTGTGAGAGAACTTATTGAAAATGCTCTTGATTCAATAGAATCCATATCTGAGCTTCCTGTAGTAGAAGTAACAATGTAAGTGCTTTTCATTTGTGCATATTCCTACTATGGATATCAGCATGACTTAGGTAGGCAAGCTTTAACATATGAGATAATCAAGCATGTCATTTAATACTGCATATTCCTACTATGGATATCAGCATGACTTAGGTAGGCAAGCTTTAACATATGAGATAATCAAGCATGTCATTTAATACTTTAGTTTTATTATTTTCAATTCTTTGATGCTTTAGTGAAGAAATTGGAAGAAGCAAGTTTAATTCTATGATTGGTCTTGTTGATCGTGAACACGTTGATGAGGAACTTTATGTTGATTTCGAGACAGCCAAGGCTTGTGAGGTGTGGGCCTTATACCTAAAATAGCCGAACAAGTATACCCACAGCTTCCCATTTTTAAGTGTTATCAAATCCACAATTTTTGTCTTAAAAGTTTTAAAAAATGTGGCAAATTAGTTTTAAAAAATCATCAACAAATGGCTTGAATAGATAAAAATATTTTTATCAGTTGGTCACAGGATTTGTTAGGTTGAAGAAAAAATTTACTGCCATGATAGATTTTGTGATGTATCCATTTATTGTACTATGTACGCTGCTATACCCCAACCTTGACTATACAATATATAGTATTGTGGCATTTAATTCGATGGATAGGATTTTCATTGATTGAGCTTTTATTGGTCCACATGATTGATATTAATTACATTTCACCATGGCTAAAGGAAGCAGAAGGGGTGTGTACATATTTAATCACTTATGGATACTTGTATAAACTTTTACTTATTTCTGGAAGCTGTGTGAATATATCTATCATGTATAGCGCACATATTTCTCATAAACCATGGATAATTTTGATCGACAAGAGTGATTCTGCAAAGGACATTCATGGTAATCATCCAATTTATTAGCACCCTTTAGACTAGAGCCAATCACACCTTTACATAATTCCTTGAATTTTAACATTGATTTAATAATTCACATTTGTAAATTGTGGCTAGTAGCAGGCTACCTCTTTACTATGTAATCGTTTCACCATTCATCAACTGGCTGCTTGCCCTATTATATTGTCATCAAATATTTGTCCATAATATAGACATGTCACATGGATGAGACCAATAAGCTGAAGGCCCAACAAATTTTAAGAAGAGAGAAAAAATAAATAAAAATCAAACAGGTAGGATCGTATGATCCTCTGATTCAAATCGTAACTTTGACAACCATGTTTGTTACTGACTCTTACTAATGTAAAACGTGCTTCAATTAATGCCCTACTTGTTGAGGATCTCTTAAAATCAAATCTTGTATATTTTCAGGTGCAATCACTGGAGCTATAACAACTCCTCTTGATGTCATAAAAACTAGATTAATGGTTAAGGTACAGATAATGGATCTTTTTTCTTACTTTTCTTTCTGTCTTAATCTTTTTCATAGAAGGGGAGTAATGCAAATTCTTTCTTCATTTCATCTTTTCAACCTTTGCAGGGGTCAGCAAACCAGTACAAAGGTATATTTGATTGTGTTAGGACTATCATTAGAGAAGAAGGGACTCCTGCTCTTCTAAAGGTATGCTCTTCCACGCTACGCCTTTTATCCCATAAGATGCAATTCAAAGTATAGTAATCATTCTTTGTGTTCTTTTCTCTCGTTGCTCTTTTCAATTTACATGATAGCATGGGAAACTATTAAGAAAAATGTCCTAATTTTGTTAAGATAGATAGCATTTCTAACTTATGGACAATGAGGGTCATATTTGAATAGGAATTGACTTACATTAAAATTATATAAAACACTCTTAATCAAAAAATCAAAACTAATAGATACATATACAGAAAGAGATTGACGAACCTTGATTTTTTGCTCCAAATTGATGTGTATAGCCATCTGAAATTCGAAGAAATTGTGGATTCAAAATAGGAACCCTAGTTTCTTCATAGAACGAACAAATACAAGCAATCTTCGATGCCTCCCTCAATGAATTGTCAAACTTTGCTTCAAATTAGAGCAAGGATTAGGGTTCTTTTATGGAGATCTTCGTTTCAAAAACTCATGTCTGACAGCTTCAACAACTTGAATAAGTTATCTTCAAATCAAATCTCATACATCTACACCATATCAAAATAATTTATGAAAATAACACCTAGAACAACCCACACATCTACACTTTCATACACACATATATGCAAACACGAAAAATAATATCTAAAAAGAAGGCAATATACCCAAACTCTGCCACACATCTACAACACAAGATCTCATCCACCAACACCATACCAAAGTAAAATAAAACAAGATAATTAAGGACCAAAATCAATAAACTAAAATACGCTCAGAGTGTAGTGAGGGTTATTTCATTACCAACTAACTGTCACACCCCAAAACCATAGGGCGTGATAATAAGGTTAAAACAAAAAAAAATGGAACAGCAGTTTTCAGCTTAAGAAAATTCTGCGCAGCGGTTCCTCAAAAAAACATAGAAAATTCAATTATTATCGAAATGAAACAAACTAAATTTTTTTAGAAACTAGACTCAGATGACAATGTGACCGAGTCACTCCCAGATGCTAGAAAAACACCAAGGAAAATAGTTTTTGGAAGGAAGAAAGCTCTCACAGCTTGTGCTGAAATGGAACCAAGTGCAAAACTTTGGCCTGCTTAGTCTTTTAGAGAGCCAATAAAATTTTGGGGCCTTAACCTTTAGAAACTAGACACTTGAAATAATAAAACTGGAAACTTTCATAATTTATTGATTTCGGGAAGGCCGTCAAATTCTTTTCTCAAATTCAGTTTCCAAACTGTGACCAGAAACCAAACAGCAGATGATATAAGATTTTTTAAAAAATATCCACCAATCGAAAAATTATAAAAATTTTGTGAGAGACTTTATACACAAAGGGAAACATATGGTAAAAATTTCACAGCATTTGAAGCATTACAACCTCTGATTAAAATTCGTTTCCAAGAAATTACTAGAGGAAATTTAAAACAGATTTTTTTTTTTTCTTTAAATAAAACCCTCTAACAGAAAATCCAGAGCTTACCCCCATGAGCAACTTATATAATACATAGGCATAACAAAGATATAAAGAGGCTAAGAATATATATATTGCATAAAGTCATCCATAGAAAGATAATTTCAGTCCAAATTTGTACACCCAAAATAAAGAGTCACAGCTCTGATGCCCAGTCACTAAGTACATCTGCTACCATTAGCAGGCTATACACAAAACATCTAGATACAGTACCCTGTCCTAAAGAACACATAGCAGAGAGCATATTGTCATCTTTACTCTAGCACAACAACCACGACCTTAACATTGTTTCATAAGGCATCAAACATGAACAAAATAGTACTTCAGGCTAATATTTTACACAAAAACACCAAGCAGAAGATGCTCCACAAAAGGATCCCATCTATGGGAACTCAAGCTCGGGTCTAGCATTGCCGTCCTGAGCACCAAGACCTGAAAAATAACAAGGGTGAGACAATGCCCAGTAGGAAAGCCTTTAACAAATGCCTCCATGAGGTTTTAACTTTTAGGTACATGATCTAATTAAGCAGAATTATTTTGGCGTAAAATTGATAATATACATCAGTCTACCAACATGCTAAGTTCTGATTGGAAAACAATTTAACCATGTAGAGTTCTGAAATAAAATCATAAGCAATACTTGTATGTAACCAAAACTCAGATCATGACCAAGCATATGTATAATATCTTAGCTAAAATCAAGCATTTGACTACAAGAAAATCATGTACTTGTAACAAGAAAACTATAATTTCATGGAACATTAAATTGGGAAACAGAACTGTAAAAAAATAACTCTCAAGGCTACAAGAGTTAAAGAGAATCCCTACCCAATTGAAGGTAACAATTGGAGGTGGTGAGATTAGATGGTGTGTGGGTAAAATGCCTACATTTTCAGCCTTAGTCTGAACCCTTCTTCTTCTTTTTCACTTTCTGTTCTTCTTTCTCTCTGTCAGACAACCCACGGCTAGAAGTTTTCTTTTAGGCTTGGCATGCAACAACTATGAGGGAACTAGTTACAAGTGTAGTGCTAAATAATTAAACGTGTCTCCAAGTTTTGCATATGAATGACACCTCGTTCTAGATCCCCTACATGCTGCCACATGCAAACCCACTAAACCATATTCTATTAATATCTCAATACTCCCTCATTTCCAAAAGTAATCACTCAATGGCTCTACCCATTTTATTTATTTCTTTATTTCTTTATTTTTATTATTATTTGTTAACAACTAAATTCATCCCATGAGTAAAATAGAAAAATTAAATGAAACTTATGACTATTAATTAAATACTAGATCAAAAAATTATATACTAGACAATTAAGGAATTATAAATTGCCAACGAACCGTGCACAACCGATGCATTTAAATAAATTCCAAGCAATTAGGGATGTACTAATATTGAAATGCAACACATGAAATAGGTAGAAAGAAATTTAATCAAAAATCATGTAATTCTGGTCCTAAACATAGGGAAGACTTAATTAAATTTAAGGTTGTCACACTTACTCTTTGAACAGACCATTTTTTGCCTTTATGCACATTATAATGAATATAGTTAGATATTCTTCTTGCTAGAATTTTGACAATTTTTTTTTTTATCTTTTGTGATAGGTTAGTAGACAAAATAATTAAGCAAATAGTGATGGATAAAGAATGGATGCACATGACTTACAGGTTATTATTTGTAGTGGAGTGTGCTTATAAAAGTTAATATTGTCTACACTAATTTTAAGTTTCATTAAATGTTAAAGCTTTAATTTTATAGAATTGATCTAAAGTATTTAGAAGGAGCACGGAGGTTTGCTGATCAGGCGCAAGCGAATGCGGGCCATCCAGAAAAGATTTTATGCCCTTGTAATTGTTGTCTAAATGCAAAGCACCAACACTTCGACATGGTGTTTAGGCATTTATTGGAAAATGGAATGGATCAATCATACACGATCTGGTACTTTCACGGGGAAAATCTGAGTGAATCTCCCCAACATGGAAGTGATGTAAATGACGTTGAAATGCCAGAGACGTATCAGATGTATAGAGATATTTTCTTTGATGGTGGTGATGATGTTTCGGATCCAAACTATGAAATAAGAGAGGTTGAGTTTAAAAAAAAGTTAGAATATGCTGAGACCCCTTTATTTCCAGAATGCACAAAGTATACGGTTATGTCTGCAATTGTTGCCTTATACAAGCACAAAGCAACAACTAATTTATCCGACACTGGTTTTGATGGACTTCTTCAAATGTTTGGGGATATGCTTCCAGAAAATAACAAACTTCCTAAGAGCTATTATGAAACGAAAATTTTTTTGAAGACATTTGATTTAGGATATGAGAAAATAGATGCTTGTAAGAATGACTGTTGTCTATTTAGAAAAGAGAATAAGCACATGACTAAATGCCCAAAATATGGTGTTTCGCGGTGAAAAGAGAATGAGTGTACTAAGAAGGTTAAAAATAGTGTCCCAGCTAAGGTGTTGTGGTACTTTCCAATAGTACCAAGGTTTAGAAGAATGTTTCGATCCCCTGAAATAGCAAAACAACTAACGTGGCATTCAACTCATAGAAGTGGGGATAGAAAGATACGACATCCGGTTGACACGCCTGCATGGCATACGATAGATAAAAAATGGCCTTCGTTTGCATCAGATTCACGAAATTTAAGACTTAGCCTTTCAACTGATGGGTTTAATCCATTTGGTGACCTTAGTTCGGCATATAGTTGTTGGCCAGTAACATTGGTGGTATATAATCTTTCGCCACTTGAACTTATGTCTAAAGAGAATATGATGTTGACATTACTAATCCCAGGGCCGAGGCAACCGGGGAATGATATAGATGTGTATTTGGAGCCACTTATAGATGATTTGAAAGAGCTATGGGAGAAAGGCGTGGAAATTTATGATGCAGCAAAGTCCACATTTAATTTGAAGGTAATCTTGATGTGGACAATTAGTGACTTTCCAGCTTTTAGTAACCTCTCTGGTCATGTTACAAAGGGTAAAAAAGCTTGTCCAACATGTAGTGATGACACATGTTCAAGGCGGTTGAATTGTAGCACCAAGACCGTGTACTTAGGTCACCGTCGATGGCTATCTCCTACTCACCCATTTCGAAAAAAGAAGAGTTGGTTTGATGGGAGTGAAGAACATAGGTGGAAGCCTAAAATATTGTCTGGGACTGAAATTCTTCATGCTATGAAAAATATTAAAAATGATTGGGGTAAGAAAGCGAAGGGAAAATTACATATCAAACCAAAAATTGGAAAGAGGAAACAAAAGACAAAAAAGGACGAAAATGTGGCGTGGAAGAAAAAATCCATATTTTTTGAATTACCATACTGGGAGGTAAGTATTTGTAATAGAAAGTCGTTTTATTTATTTATTTATTTTTAAATAAAATATTATTTATTTAAGTTTATAATATGTTTTAAAAAAACTATTATTCCATTATTTGTGTTTTAGGTATTACTCGTTCGCCATAACTTAGATGTCATACATATTGAGAAGAATATTTGTGAGAGTATTATTGGCACCCTATTGAACATAAAAGGAAAATCAAAGGATGGACTCAAGTCTCGTAGGGATTTGGAGGAAATGGGCATCAGGGGGGATTTGCACCCACAAGATTCCAAAGGGAAACATTTCTTGCCACCAGCACCTCATACACTAAAGAAGGAAGAAAAACAGCTTTTTTGTAAGCGATTACAACAATTAAAGCTACCAGACGGCTATAGTTCCAACATTGGGACACATGTATCATTGGATGAATGCAAGGTTGTAGGCTTGAAATCTCATGATTATCATGTCCTAATGCAACAATTACTACCGGTAGCGTTACGGGGAATTCTACCAAAGGGTGTAAGGAATGCCATATTTCGCCTATGTGCATATTTTAATGAAGTATGCCAAAGGGTGATTGATAGGAACTCAATGGAATGACAGGAAAATGAAATTGCTGAGACATTGTGTATGTTAGAAAGATTTTTTCCTCAATCTTTTTTCGACATTATGATTCACTTGAGAATTGTAACATTATATGGAGTTTTTATATTCAATCTATTTAGTTTGCTCTATTTCATAATTCTTTCAAAAATATGCACAAGAGTAGAAGTAAAATTCTATTATGAGGAGTCAAAATGTATGATATAAGATATGTTTTGCAACACTATGACCACTTTGACTGTTCAATTTCATTAATTGATGATTTAAAAATATGATAAGAACTTCATTTATACCATCTTTCCACTCCATCCGAATTTGACAAAGCCAAATGCAAACACAAAGCCGCCAACAAACAACCACCACTGAGAATAGTATAAGAATAGTAAGTTGTGAGTCATCACTTTTAAGAGTCAAAAGAGTCGTGTGTTGAATGAAGAAATCACAAAGTATAGAAATTATTGATGGGAAGGAGATTTCTTCAAAACTTTGGGCCCTCACAAAACAAACACAAATGCACCTTTCCTTTTCTATTTAGAATGACATCAATATGCATATATCAAAAGAGTTAAAACTAGGTCATGAAACATTTGATTTATTATTATATGTGAAGATATTCATTATCATTTAATTCAGAAAAAAAATTATAAAAAAAATTATATATTGATATTTGATGAAAATAAGATGTACTTGTGATGAAAATATTAAAAGATCACTAACCATTGGTTTTTATATGTTGAAGTGTACCCAATGTTAAACCAGTAACTTCATAATGTAGCTTCAAAACAGACCTTTACTTGTTTCCCCCAACCCAGGTATCTTCAAAAACACTTGCTTAAAAGAATAGCACAATGATAGGAGCAAGATAAAATAGTTTCTCTTCACAAAGGCTTAAACCCCAAAATTGAGGTTAGACAAGTCTTTTCACAATGCAGCTTCTGTTCAGGTCTTCAATTAACTCCCATAGCCTTGTATCATCAAATTATACTTGCTTGATTGTTTAGAACACTTTACATAGCAAGTTACAGCAATAGGCACACACAAGCAGGCTTAATCCCATTAAAACCTAGCTTTTAAGCTTTCAAGGGCAACTTTGTGATTTAAGCTTTGGAACACCTCACAGTCCACTCCCCTAGTCTTTAATAGGCTAGATACACTTGCTTAGGTATTAATAACCAATTAACAAGCAAGGTATATTCCAATGCAAGGTTACAACACCATCTTGTGTTAAAACACTGAATTTCAATTTTAAAAAGAAAACATATATAAATTAAACTACCAACAAACTGAGATGTAGTGTTCATGAATTTCAGATTTGCTCATAATCATGAGATAAAGAGACTACATATTATGATATTGTAGTGTTTATGAATATGAATGTCAATACCCCTTTCGCAGCTAAGTTAATCATTTTTCTGCTTAGAACAATGATAGTATTATTTATTGCCCATGCAAGATAAAATACATGCTAAGAGTTCTAAAGCAACAATATATACATGATTGCTGATACCAGAAATGCAGCAATCTTGAGAATTCAGGATCTCTCTAGGAAAGCAATTAGATTGATTTACACATGAGGGAAAGAGATAAATTAACGATGCAAATTCAACAATTTTATAGTTATTCTTAATTCTAAATCAGTCCTAGTCTATAGTCTGCATTTAAGCAGGGAATACCGTTAACAAGAATATGAACATCCGGCACTCCCTTCAAACCCCCTAAAAAGGAAGGAGAGAGAGAGAGAGATTAACGGCATGAATCTGACCATTACACCATACCACTTCCCTTCCGCCACATGCACAAACGTTTCATTATATACCCTTGTATTTGGATAAGGTAAGGGTTATTACAAATGCTCATTATTGTGTCAGGTAGGGCGAGTCCTAAGTAAATGACATAAAAAGTGGCTAAAACCGCCATAAAGAAGCCGGCAAAAGAGGAATGAATTGGGGTCTAATGGAGAGAAAGCTTAGATCTGTTTCTTCCCTCGAGGTTAGGCCAAATTACAAGCAATACCTTTAACGTTTTAGAAATTACAGATTCCTCCCTCAAAGTTGGCTCCGTTATGCCCTTTTTTCAGCTTTATGTTCTATTTTACAGAATTTACAGAGATAAGATAGAAGCCAAAAGAAGAAAGGAAGATAAATAATTTGTGTTCTTTTGTTTGATACTTGAAAGAGAGAAATTGGAGAAATAAATAAATAAAAGAAGAATAAAGAAGGGAAAAAAAGGTAAGTAAGTGTGGAGGGTGGTTTAAAATTTTGCTTGCATTGTTGAGACTAATTGTGGATAGTGTGTATTTTATATAGAAGTTGATAAAATATTCACTAGTTAGAGAAGATCTCTAACCAATCCATTATAATTACACATATCCCCAGTCTCAAACTGGGTTAGGGTCATAGGGCTGGCAATTGTCATAACAACCTCATTAGCTTAGATGCAAGTCATGTGTGATGTGTCCATAGAAGGTCCACTTTCCTAAACCAAACTTCAACTTGTCAAGATGTTGGTGGGTTGGTTTGGTGGCTAAGAACTAGCCACTGCATATATGCCATAAAAATGATACAGGTCATTGTGGATAATGTGTATTTTATATAGAAGTTGATAAAATATTCACTGGTTGGAGAATATCTCTAACCAATCCATTATAATTACACATATCCCCATTCTTAAACTAGGTTAGGGTCATGGGGCTGGTAATTGTCATAACAACCTCATTAGCTTAGATGCAAGTCATGTGTGATGTGTCCATAGAAGGTCCACTTTCCTAAACCAAACTCCAACTTATCAAGATGTTGGTGGGTTGGTTTGGTGGCTAAGAACTAGCCGCTGCATATATGCCATAAATATGATACGGGTCATCATCCTTCTTTCTCTAAGCAAATAGTGTGTGTGTGTGTGTGTGTATATATATATATATATATACACACACACACACACACACTATTTGCTTATATATTTGAATATAGTATAGAATAAAAAATAAAATAAGAGGAGAGGTTTTGGAGCAACGAAGCCTTCTGAAGAATAACTACAACAACCAAAATTGAAAGAGGGGTTTACCCAATCAATGTACCTACTCTGTCACTAGACCTTTTTAATGTAAAAAGATTGAATTTTGAAAGAAAATGAGAGTTCTGAGTTAAACATATTCGAGTTCCCTTTGACGTATCGTAGAGTGTTTTAATGAGAAAAGATTGAATCTTTGATTGAAAAAACCTCAATCAAGGTACCTGTTATATCACTAAACCTTTTTAATTCTAAAAGATTGAATCTTTGAAAGAAATTAAGAGTTTTGAATTAAACTTATTCGAGTTCCCTTTGACGTCCCGAAGAAGTCCACTCCCTTAGTCTTCAATAGGCTAGATACACTTGCTTAGGTATTAATAACCAATTAACAAGCAAAGGTATATTCCAATGCAAGGTTACAACAGCATCTTCAATGTTAAAACACTGAATTTCAGTTTTTTTAAAAAAAACATATATAAATTAAACTACCAACAAACTGAGATAATATATATATATATATATATATATATATAAGACTTGACTTGTATTTAAAGTTTCAGATTTGCTCATAATCGTTGCACCAAAAACCTACAATGTTTCCGATTTGTTTCAGAATATTTCAGATTTGCTCATAATCATGAGATAAGGAGACTACATATTATGATATTGTAGTGTTCATGAATATAAAGAGATTATGATATTGTCTGTTCTCATACATCCTTGCAAAAATCTAGTATTCAATTAAGGAAAATTATCTACTTCAAATATAAAAGCAGATCTAAGGAAAAAATTCTTAGCAAAATGTTTGTGTTTGATTTATAAAATGATAATCTTGTTATTTCCTTTTTTATTAGCATTCTGAATTTAAGACTTGTGTGATACAGTTACTTTTTTGGATTTTGCAGCTACTTCCTTGGATTTTGCAGTTACTTCCTTGGATTTTGTACAGTGAGCTGGTTTTTTGACAAGTGCAGACTGAAACTCAATTGCTAGAAGGTTTATCAATTTTTCAACAGAAGTGTTAAGAAATTGATGATTTTCTTGACAAATGGATGTATTTTCTGTTTTGGAACATTGATAAATGATGAATTGTAAAAATGTTTTAACTCTTTTGATATATTTAATGAGATATGTATGTTTTTTGAATTGAAATGAATTATAGCTGACAGTGATGTGAATTATAGGTAGTGGATGATTAATAGGAATTAATTAAGGGTGCATTATTTATAATATATATATATATATATATATATATATATATATATATATATATATATTATAAATAATGCACCCTTAATTATATATATATTATTTACGGGGAGCTTGAAATACCGTAAATAAGTGAAAATCTTCCTTAAATAACTTTTCTACGGCATGTACGGCAAGTCAGGAGAATGGTTTATATTATTTACGGGTACCTAAAATTTGCCGTAGAAAAGTTTTCTACGGCATGATTTAATGCCTCGTGAGATTATTTACGGGTAGTTAAAATTCGCCTTAGAAAATTTTTCTACGGCATGGTTTTGTACCTCGTGAGATTATTTACGGGTAGTTACAACTTGCCGTAGAAAACTTTTCTACGGCAGCCGTGGGTACCTCATAAGATTATTTACGGGTAGTTATAGTTCGCCGTAAAAAATTTTCTACGGCAGGCGATGGTGTCTCGTGAGTTTTCTACGGGTAGTTACAATTCGCCGTAGAAACCTTTTCTACGGCATGCCTCGGCACCTCGTAGGTTAATTAAATAAAATTTAATATATATAAATGAAATTATTTTCTACGGTGACTCTATTGTTTTTCTACGAGGTAGATTTTTTCTCGTAAAAAAAATTGAGTATTTACGGAACCCTCATACACGAGTGCCTAGAATGCGCCGTGAATAGGTTTCCACGGGGTTTTTGGCCCCTCGTAGAAGCCCTTTTTTCTTGTAGTGGTATAACAATTTGGCCTATCAAAAAATTGTTATATTGCAAATAAATCTAACTTGTGAC